TAAACCAACGTTATATTCCTTCCTTTTACTTCTAACAATCTTGATCTTTAGTCTCTTCCGATAATTCTGTAGAAATATATTTCTTTTCATTTTTTCTTTGTCCCTTCTGACCACGGTGGAATGAAGAGCCGGCGAGTAGACCAGCTGTTTGTAATTCCTCTCTGGACAAGGAGAGGACTTGAGATTGCCCACAAATGCCCCAGAAAGTTGCTTCTTGCAAGGAGACCACAAGACAGCGGTCTCTGGCATGTTTAGAGCTCTGGGAGACAAGGGAATACTCATCTTGTTCAAACCATGATCGGCGCCTTTAAAAGGACACTGGATTCACATACTTCCTTTTTTAATCACTTTCAGAAATTGCTTGTTAACTGCTGTCCAGCTATTAGGAACCTTTGGATCAACAAATTTTACAGCACCAGGTGAGTTTCCTTCAATCCTTGTGAAAGAATTTTTAAATACAAGTTTAAGGATTTAATTTTTTTTCTGGAATAAACAGCAAAAAGATGATTAAAACTTTGATTTTAGAAAGTTACAAATGGACTTAGGGTCCAGATAAATTTGAAATAAGATTTCGGAATTAATTATAAAGAAACCTTCCCATGGGAAAATGCTTTTGTTTTGAATTCTTTTAAAAAAACACACAATACGGTAAGACGACTTTAAAAATTGGACACTAGACAGAACTAGAATGAACTAAAGATTACAATTGAAGGAGAAGAACACTCAAACTCAACTTACTAATACAGAATGAAGCAAAATAAGAATGAAGCAAAATATTTTAATATTGGACATATTGAAAGATATTTTTGAACAATGGACCCAGAAGTTAATTTTAAGAGTGTCTGCCTATAGATAGACTATGTTTAAAAGATGTTATGAAAGAGGAGCAAGTTTTACCTGACATGATTGAGACTGATTTGAAAGTGGATTTAAAAATGACAGGCTACAAGAATGACATGGAAAAAAATGTTACACTGGACATAGAAAGGAAACTGGCCGATGTCTTAATAATTAAAGGGATATACAAATAACAAACCAAGAGAGTGACCTGGTCCTATACTGGATTTACAAAAGAGGCTTGTCAAAGCTTTGAAGAATTTGGTGAAACTGGCATTGTTTTTACAATGGGAATCTTTGTGGCACTTTGGTAATTCTGTTTGCCTAGGATGGCATTCTGGCCATGCCCCAGGCCACTGTGTTCAGCAAACCTGCTCTTTGAATAATGGGGAGAATCAGAATTCCTGTTTAATCCTCCTCAGGTCACAAGCTGCACAGTATCTTCCATCATGGCTTTGCTAAGCTTCCATAGTTTATAGTTTGTGAGGAACATTCAGAAACACTGTTAATGTGCAAGGGCTGCAGCCATGAGAAAAGTGATATACTGGTTGTTTATAACTTTTTGATTGAAATGCTCTTCTGGCAAACCTTGTAATCAGATGAAAATTGTGTCTTCCAATTGCATTTGCCGCATTCTGTTCCAACTCTGTCACTGTATGCAAGAGGTTATAAATTAAGCTCCAAGTCTCTCAGAGTATGTAGAGTTGAGTGCTGTAAATGTTAAGCATTATGAAAAATACATCATTTGTCCCCAAAGTGGTTCAGCTGTCATGCTCTTGCCAGTTCTCCCTCATTTTTATTTTGACCCATATTCAATAAGCAGCCTGAACAACTTGCAAACTAAATATCACAATCTCTTCAGTCTTGATATATTCTTCCAAGAGCTCATTTTTTTCATCACAACAACCCTGGCTGGGTTGAGAGATTGTGATGAATCCAGAGTCGCCCCATAGGTTTCCTTGCCTGATTGTAGACCTGATTGTAGATTTAAATTCACTTTCCCTGTTCCTGGGATCAATACCTTAACCACTATACCACATTGTCTCTTCCTGTGGTGTTATCTCTGTTGTTATCTATGTGTCAACATCCATGTGAGATTGATATAATCCAACAGTAGGCAGTGTGCTGCCCCAGCATACCCAGGCTTTGATGGCAGAAGATTCTAGGTTCCCTTTGATTTTATTTTAAGATGGTTTTAATTAATATTATAATTACTGAGAATCTGGCATCTGGAAAGCAAAGCACCAGTTTCTACTATCATCTTACTTCAGAAGAATGTCTTGTGATTCCAAATAGGTCCATAAGCTTTCTTCAGAAATAACAGTGATTGATACCTTCGGCCCAGTGCTTATTTAGAAAGTTTTCACTCCTATCTCCTCCCACCCCCAAAAGTAAGCTAGGATAATATAGAGAGCATCTTGGGGGGCTAAAGTTGGAAGGGAGCAACCTCACTAATTATCTTTCTAATAAGTGGGCATCTGGGATTGGTCAAACCCACCAAGGCAACCCATATATGAAGAAGTAAGCTCTTCCCCCTGGCATGTGGAAGACCCTTGGGGAAGGGCCTATGACATGCTCCCCAAATTCCAAATGTATATTCCCTTTCCAAGTCCAACAGTCAGACAATATTTGCAGCTGGAGTTGTGTTCTTAAGACAGAGTAAAGGATTTCATTCACCTAACTCCTACTTCATTGCCCTGCTTGACTTGATAGCATACAGATTATTTCAGGGATGAAGCTGACAGTCCTTGGAGAACTTTAGCATATGTGTCATATCTCACTTGTCTGGTATACTCAGGTTTCCATCGCTTCCATGAAAGTTCATGGTTTGAACTTTCATAGTTCATGGTTTGAACTTTCATGGTTTGTTCATGGTTTGTAATTTCATCAACCATGAAAAAGTTCATGGTTTGAACTTTCATAGAATGCTGAGCCCAAATGTAACAGCAGCACCGAGCCCATACAGTGAAAGGTTAGAGATCTTCAGCCTCCTCTTCCAGAAGCCCTCTTGGTCTACACCCCCGGCCCTGCCTTCTTTCTCCAGTGTAGCTGCTTGATGCTACCACCTATCTTCCAAGGTAGAAGAGGAATAAGGAGATAGCCCTGAAGAAAATATGTGGCAGCTGTTACAAAACATCAACTTAGCCTGGAAAGACAGGGGGAGGTGAGGTAGAACTTCAAGATTGGTCTGCCTTGACTCTCTTTGGTATAAGAGAACAGAGAAATTCTGTCAGGTTTTCAGAATTCCTTTTTATAGCCTGTATCAATAAAGTGGAGTTTACTTTATCAGACTACCCTATACAAACTAACCTATATCAATAGAGATGAGTCTTAGTATTTCTTGTGTCTGTTTTCTGACCTGATCTTCATTGAAGGGGTGACAATCAGGGGGATGTCTTTACCTGGTATACTTCCTCTTTAACCCTGGAATATGAGATATATAAGAATCTGGCATGTTTTACTGCCAAAAATGATAAAGAGGAAATAAATTTTGGAATGTTGAGGCATATGACCAGAGAAAGCAGTCCCTCCTCCTTTGGGAATTAGATCAATTTGTAAAGAGTAAGGAAGATGAACTTGATGGAGATATGCAAGTACTGTTACCTAGATAAAAGGATCTGAAACATTTTTTAAGTCCAGAGCAATGAGATAGCATTTAGAAGAGGCTGAGGCAGATGCTTCCCTAATTCACTGGGGTATAAAAAGTGGGATGGGGGGGAGAGAGAACAGCACAATCAGACTTGCAATTCTGTCATTATAACCAATCTCAGTAAATTTAGTTTTTGCCTTCCTGTGGAGTTGTCCTCTTAATCTGGTCTACCTAGTGGAGCTGACCCAATCTCACAAGGGATAATTAAAATAAACTTTATCTTAAAAAGAAGGAAAAATGAAAGCATAAAAATTTGTTTTTATTTTTAATAATCATATGCAAAAACAGTGTTGGAGGAAATAAACATATTGTGCTGCTGAAGCCAAAGACAGCATCCTAAAGGAATATCCCATACATAACTATGAAGGAGAGTTTAAGCTTGGAACAGATCACGAGGTGGAATGAATCTGCTAGTAATGCAGGGTACGCTACTGCCCAAAGATCCCAAAATGCATGAAACATTGTCATGACTGAGCTTATGTAGTGAAAATAAATCACTGGAGGCTTAGATACACACCAGGCTTAGATACACACAACCAAATAAAGTATAAAATCCTAGAGTAGAGTTCTATCTAACCCTGCTTACCTATTCCTTAGGGCAAATGGATTTCCTGAAGCTAAGGGTTCCTCTTTGCTTTCTTGGGAGAAAGGAAAATTCAATAATTTCTCCCAAATTCTTGTAGGGTTGCAGTCTTTCATCAGAGGCTCAGGAGCAATTGTCCCTTTGTTTTTTTTTTCATAACCCTACTCTTGCTTCTCTCTTTCCTACTGAAGACTCCCTGCAGTTTCTCCAAGAGTGCAAAAACTCTTCCCATGGAGTAGGGAGAGGGAACTGGGGCAATCTTGTGTTGTTACTTTGCTGCTCAGCCATCCCTCAGTCAGCAAGTTCCTACATTCGAAGGAACGTAGATTTCCTGTCTGGGCAGCAGCTATCCATTTTGTGAATGTTAGGTGGCATTGCAACACCAACAAATGTGGGGAAGTCTACATCTAATTGGCATTTTGATTGGGCAGGAAAGTTATCTCTAGCTGAGCTGCATTTTTTTGTTAGGAGCAAGTCTCTTCATGGTAAGGCGTGGATTTGCGGCAGTAACTAAACTCAGAGAGTTGACTGGTATGTCCTTGGATGCTCATGTTTTATTTTTTTTTTTATTAAGTTGTAAAAAGCAAAAAGATAAAAACTAACAAGGACTAACAGTCAAGAAGAAAAGTAGAAAGCAAGAAAGCTAGACATAGAGAAAGAAAATATAAGTGGTGGAAAATAGAGAAGAAAAAGAGGGAAAAAAAAAGGAAAAAAGAAAAGACTCTTACCTGGGAGGCTCATGAATTTGAAAAACATCTAGAAGTATTTTTCTTTTCTGATTTTTTTTCTGAAAAAAAGACAAAGAAATATTTTTCTTTGTGCTGAAAACAGTTAAAAATGAATAGGGTGATTTTTGCTTTTGTTAATTAAAAAAGGTTGAGTATGGGGAGAGGGAAATATGTATGAAATCTTAAAGGGGGAGGAGAGAAAATAAGCTCGTTTGTAACTGCTGTAAAAAAGATTGGAAGCTGCTTCTTTTTTCTAATCTTTTTTCTTTTTTCTTTTCTGTACCTTTTCTTTCATCTTTCTTTCATTTTTCTTAACTTTCCGCTTTATATTCTTTCATGTTTCTTTTATCCAGGTAAAAAAAAATTAATAAAAATTATCCAGAGGTATTTTCCAGGGATTTAATGGCAACATGTCAAATAGCAGTGGAGATCAGAAGTCCTCTTTTCCCCAGGTTTGGCTGATTTCCAAGGGGCAACCTTTCAAAAAATGTCCCTGATGTAACCAAGTTGGATTACAATCCTGCTGTCAGTACAAAGTTCTCTATCTCTAGCTATCTATCTATCTATCGTCGTCATCATCATCATCTCTCTCTCTCTCTCTCCTATCTATCTATCTATCTATCTATCTATCTATCTATCTATCTATCTATCAGAGATCTATCTATCTCAAGTGGACCAAAAAATGTGTGCCCCAAATTGATTTGTGCTGTGAGTTGAACTGCTTAACCTAAACAAAAACTTGTCTTAAGGAAGATCCAGCTTTTTCATGTATTTTTCAGCCTCCATGTGATTGTCCACATGATATTGGCAAAGCTCATCAACCTTGGCCAGCAATGATGGTACTTATAGTCCACAGTACTGGGGGGTCCTTGTTTAGGGAAAGCTGCTGCATATACCTATCTAGCTTAAAATTCCAGCTATATATTCTTGCATTCACTTTGTAATGTCATTGTAATTTTAGTGTGGAAATGTGTATTTCTTCCATCACGTTTGTGTGCTTTTTCCAGTAGCTCACATATATTTTGCTTTAAGAGGCCAATTAATCCCATCTTCAGTGGCAAACCACAGGATACTTGGCTTGGCCATCTAATCATTGCCAGCTACTCAGCAGTTGCAGCTGCTTCCCTGGGTGTGTGAAAGTGGTTCTGAGATGGTGAGTTACAAGAAGAAGCTAAAATCCAGCTGAAACTGCCATTGCAGAGGATGAGAGAAAAAGCTGAACAGCAGAAAGTTAATTGAAAGATCTGAAAGGGATGAGACTGCAGATATCTTTGGGTTTCTCAGTGATACATGCTCTTCTCTTCCTCTGGATCCTATATCCTTCTCTGTATGGAGAACCTTTTTTTCAGATTCTGAAGATAGATATGCCTAGCAGGCCCAGAATTGAAAATCTATCAAAGCATTTCTGCTGACTCAAGTGCATCTTTGCTGATTTGTAGTTCAGAGACAGGAGTGAGGAAGATGTAGTTCTCCAAAGTTCTGGAATTCTTCACCCCTCTGAGTTGGGGGTGCTGGAAGTTGTAATTGAAGGAATATTGAGTGCTTTCCTACTGCCCAAGTTAGTTACATATTTTCTGATGTCTAATCTTTTTATCTGTTACTAGAATTCTATGTGTAATTGACTGATTCACTGTGTGCCATCAAGTTGGTTAGTGACCACATAGATAGGCTATCTCCATGATGATCTGTCCCTAACCTGGTCTTTCAGGTCTTCCAACAGTGCACCCATCACCACTAACTGAATCCATCCACGTTTCTGCTGGTGGTCCTCTTCTCTTTTCCTTCCACTTTTCCCAGCATTAGAACCTTCTCCAGAGAGCGAGGTCTTTGCATAATGTGTCCAAAGTAGGATAATTTGAGCCTGGTCATTTGTGCCTTGAGTAAGAAGTCTGGGTTGATTTGTTCAATGATCATTGGTTTCTTTTCTTGGCTGTCCACAGTATTCTCAGGAGTCTTCTCCAACACCAAAGTTCAGAAGCATCAATAATCTTCCTATCCTGCTTCTTCAAAGTCCAACTTTTGCTTCCATAAAGTATCACGGGGACTACTTGTGTATGTTTCCCAAAGCACACTGAGAGAATGAACCTGTGTGCAATGTGTGTGCGCGCGCACATGCATATATATAAAAATACACAATCGTACGGAGGTTGTGGATGAAGTCTGTGAGGAAGTTCCTTCTCCATTGCAAGTGATTATATCATATGTGATTATATCCTATGTCTGCTGTGAGACACACTCCTGGTACTTGCATTAACAGTGACACCAAGATAGCACTGATGCATTGCAAAACTACTGATTTGTAGCCTAGGGAAATGAGGGTGCTTTTTGTTGGAAAATCCACTTCTATATCACTGCTTCTTTGCACTTTCTCAAACTCTTGGCCCTTAGAGATCCCAGACATAGACAAAGTTAGTGTTGGGATTTCTACCTAGCTACCTGGCTACCTAGCAGGCCTCTAACTGGTTAGACTGATATTCCCAAAATTGCCTTCACTTCCAGTTCCTCTCTCTCTCTCTCTGCATTGATAATTGAGTGAACACGATGTGTATGGACTAGCAGATTACAGGGGCTTTCATTCTTTTACTTAGAATGCAGCTAGATCAGGTTTTTGGCTTCCAATCTAAATGAGATTTCCTAATAAAGATTTGGCTTCTTGTGTTTAAAAGGTAAGCACCAGCCTTCAGAAATCCTTCTGTGAATTGATCTCTTATTTTTTTTTTTTGCACATATATTCTGCTGTATAAAATTACATTGTTTTCCCCTCCTGCACTTCTGCACTAGGAACGGCATGGGCATCTCCTGTGTTTTGGGTTTTTATTGGAGTAGGTGACTCCCCACCATGTTTCCTGCTTCCCGTCTTGCACTCAGCCAGTGATAATGAACTCCTGAAAGAATTTGCAGGAAGGTGAAGACTACATAATGGATTTTACTGTGCATTGGGCAGGCTAGGTTAAATGTGCATTGAGAATGCAGAAGGAATACGTTGTGATGGGTCATGGCTTTAGGTGTGATTCAAGAGGAAATGATCATAGATATCTCACACAATGTCTTGTTTCTTTCAAATGTGAACAAGGAAGATGAACAGGCAGTGATTCTCCTTAAAATAGCATCAGTGTTCCGAAAGGAATAGTTCCATGAAAGGCAACAAACTCTCACTGCTGTCCCTTGCATGTCTCCAGACTTCACTCCAAATAAAAAAATTCTGGCTGAATATCACCTCCATGATGACTAGTGATCAGTCACACTTTAATTGAACCTGTAACGTGGGCTTAACAAGAAGAGTGTAAGATGTCTCTGGAATGTGCTAATAAAATGGAAATGCCTGTCCCTCTCATCACTTGCTAAAGCAATTCTTGACCACAGGCATGCAACTTTCTAGTGAATGTCGGAGGAAAGGGACTTGTCTCACCCTTTCCACACAAATATGTACAAGTGCCACCCAGCTCTTGCTATAGCAATATCAGCTGTCTGAATCAAGATCGTCCTACTGAGCTGTATCTTGCTTTGCTTTGTGTGGAGCAGTGGTCTATCAAAGCATGCTCAGACTAAGTCAGAGTGGTCTTCTTTCTTTTTTGTTCTAGCACGGATGTTGGAAGCCATTGGAAAGTGTGGAATAGTTAGGAAGGGGAGAAGGGAAAGGAAGTGTTAATTGCATACTTCAGTACAGCGGTCACACAGTTGCCTAAAATGGGGAACCCGTAAGATCATTGAATCCAGGGTTCATGCTGCCCAACTGGCCACAGCCCTTTGGAAGAAAAATTGGGTTGCTAGAATTGATGGTATTGAGGCCCTTTAGCTCATTGGCTTTTTCAGCTGTATGAATCTGATGATTTCCCAGAAGGTGGGGAAGTTTACATTCGTTCCAAACTCTGTGAGTCTAGGATGATAACAATAACACCTCCTGAGAATACATGAATTTTGGGGTTGCGTTCACCTGGAATGTAGGTGAGGGTAAACTACTACTCTGAAAATCTCTGCTTTTGGAGGCTATATAGAGGCACCTGGTTAATCCTACCTTACTTTTCTCTACGGTTTTCTTTCTTTCTAAACAAAAATCCAAAGAGCAGAACTAGTGGGTAGTTCTGGGCAGTTTACCCTTCTACCGATTCAACGTCATCCTTGATTTCCCTCTTTCTCCGCATCCTTTTTCACCATTAGCACTTGGTTAGCCTGCTGGGAAACTGATGGCAAACTGATTCAATGATGGATTTTTATTACTCCAGAACAAAGGAGAAAAAACATGGAAGCTCTTATGCTGTCATTAGCCCCATGGAGATAAAACTCATGGGCTGTAAGGTAGACAAGTTAAAATTAAGATAAGAGATGCTAAGGGTGACTGACAGGTAGTTCTAATGTATAAGGGAGAAACTTCTCTGCCATGAGTTTGTGGCTGACTGGAGTTTTCATCACAAAATAAAAAGAAAAGAACAGAACTCATTTGTTTCCTTTAATAAAGAAAGTGCCTGTTTGGAAACAGTGTGTTTTTATTCCTGGGTCTTTATACTTGTCCAGGGGGATCATTTAGGGCAGTGTTTCTCAATGTTGGCAACTTTAAAATGTGTGAACTTCAGTTCCCAGGCTGGCTGGGGAATTCTGAGAGTTGAAATCCGCACATCTTAAAGTTGCCAAGTTTGAGAAATACTGATTTAGGGCATATATCTCTGTCAAATCCTGAAATGGATTTTATAGTCATTTCCACCTCCTTGGGAACGGTAGTTCTGTGCAGATGCATGCACTAGAGCCGGAGTTGCATGGAAAGGCAATCTGAGTGCCTCTAATAGGCAGGCCAGAATTTCCAATAGCCAGTTGTTTATATGAACTGCACCACCAATTTAATACTCCTGACATGAACAAAGTAACCCAAAGCAGGGATTGTTTGGGGGAAGAGTTTCCCGAGTTAATAGCTAGCTACTCTTCTGGTGCTCACACACACCCGTTGGAAGTCTGAAAGTGGTGATCAATGACTCTGCAGCATTACAACTGAAGTCCTGGGATTTTTCTTGCCTGGGATGCGCATCTCTGCATTTCAAGGAATGCCCACGGCGTTGGCTTCACTTTG